ATAAAATACATGTTAAAATTTGTGGAATGATGCTAAAGCAGTACTTAAGAGGGACATTTAAAGCTTTAAAATCTTTACATATGAAAGGAAGAAGAGAGAAATACAATGAGGTACTCAAGCCTCACCCTTAAGAGGATAAAGTGGAAGATAAAGTATGCCTGGATTAAGTAGATGGAAGAAAACAAACAACAGAAATTAGTAAAATAGAAAATAGAAACAATAGCAAAAATTAAAATCTTTTCTTTGAAAAGATTAACAAAACAAATTAGAAGGATACTTCTGGACTTCAAAATTACTGTACTATGAAATAGTACAGTAATCAAGATGATGTAGCACAGCATAAGGATAAATATACAGATCGATGTATGATAAGACTCACATTTATATAATAATTTCAGTTTGACAAAGGCTCCAAAGCAAGTCTTCATTAAATTATGCTGGAACAAGAAGATACCCATGTAAATTAATAATGAACCTCAAGCCCTACTCACATCGTAATCCTAAAAATAACTTAAGAGGGCTTAAAGACAAAAGCGTAAAAGCTAAAGCTTCTAGATGAAAGGAATGGGACACAGAAAGCAACAGCCATTAAAAAAAATTGAGAAATTAGTCTATACCACAATTAAAAATTTGCACTGAGCAGATATGCACATTAAGAAAATAGGGAAGCCATAGACTGGGGTAAAATAATGATAAAATATATATCTGATAAAGGACTCAATTCTGGAATGTACGTGTGTGTGTGTATAATTCTAAATAATTTTTTTGCATAAAAATTTTTTTAAATGGGCAAAAGGACTGGAACATTCCTCAAAGGAATATATACAAATATATACCCAAGTAAAAAAGTGTGTGACACTCAACAGTCATCAGAAAAATGCAAATTAAAACCAAAATGAGATAGCACTACCCATCTCGCAGAACAGCTAAAGTTAAAAAGAGAAAAAAGAGAGAAGAATGATACTGGTCTTTTCAACACTGGAAGCTGGGGACAATAATACCTTCAAAATTCTTAAAGAAATGTTTTCCAACTCAGAATTCTATATCCAGCCCAATTATAAAGCAAAAGTGAAGAAAACATCAGTACATTTTCAGGCGTTTGGAGTTGCAAAAAAATAATTATCACTTTGGACGACTTTACGAGAAACTTCTGAATGACGTGCTTCATCAGAGAAAGAGTAAAACAAGAAGGACATAAGTTCTAATAAAATAGAAAAGCAAAGGAAATTCCTAGAATGATAGCAAAGACAAGTCCAGAAGTGTGTACCAGGCACAGGGAGAAACAAGTCCAGTTTGGAGCCGGACAGAACAGAATACTGAAGGTGTGAGGAGAAAGGATAACTCAACTGATAGGTGCAATATGGGGAAACCTGTATAGAGTTTTGAGATAGCATAGTCACATGTACAAAGAAACTAAAGCCATGGGATGCTGTAATTACTTACTCTAGGTGGAAAAAAAGTTGTAGAAAAAAGGGCAACAGAGGCTCAGCAGTGACAAAACTTCACCATCACAATGAAAAGAGTATGGATTAAAGCAAAAAATTATATTGGGATGATGAGGGAAAAGGTCATAAAAGCACCAATGTCTCTTCTACCATAAGACAAATAATCTGTACACTTGAAACTAACATGTCAATTATATCTCAATTAAGAAAACACAAATGATGTTAAAATTTCCATACATGCATATTATTCAAAAATATGGAATACTGGGGAAAAAACCAGGAGATTAAAGAGATTTGACTAATACATATCATTTTAAGACCTTAGAAATTTGTAACTGTTAAAAAAGAATGCATGTGTTACTTTGATATAAAATTTTGTTTAAAAAAAACTAAAACCTTCAACAAAATTTTGATTGAAGATACAACAGTGTGTAAGACAAAGTTCATGCCTTAGCAGTTTATTTCTATTGAGAAAAACAGACAACAAATAAGTAAACATACTTATGATTACAGGTAGAGAAAAATGTTATTCCAAAACATAGAAAATGAGCATTTGGGGTGAAAAGAGCGGTCAGTGATGGCCTTTCTGAGGAGTGACATTTGATCAGAAATCTGAGCTACTTGAAGCAATGGATAAAGAGTATTCCAGGAAACAGGGAGCATGTAGATAGATAGTAAGTTTAAGTTTGTTATGTTTGAAACCAGCAAAAGTCCAGAATTAAGAGTAGAATAAAGCTAAGGAGAGAAATTTAAGATACCAGATCTGTGCAGTCAGAAGTAAAGGACAATAACAATGCCACAAAAAGTTGGCTAACAGTGCTAACAAAATGATAACATGAAATACACCGATAAAAAATGAGTAGATAGTGAAATTAAAATGTCATCGTATTTGGTTCTGAAAATTAACTACCACTAAGACCATATTCTATTTGCCCTTAATTCCAGGTAAAGTAACTGATGACCAGCTACGCAGTGACAACAGAGAGAAAAAGAACATGGTCTATGAAAGTTAAAAAAGAAATGTTCAACTTTTGAGGTGAGTTTAAAAGATATCATAAACATATATGTATATATTTTATACAAACACCTATACAACCATATAGATATATAAAATATTTGTAAAGACAGATTTTAAAATTATTTGCGTCATTGATGAGTGTGCTGAAATATGTCTTGTAGCTTAAAATTAAGCAATACAAAATTGCAGAGATTATGTACTTAGTAATAGTTTTACTTAGACAATACATGCTTTAGTATACTTATTTGCAGAAAAGTAACACATTTATGAGAAGATGCCTGGTGCTCTAAAATGCTACAGGAAAAAAAAGATGGGAGTGAGGCCAATATTGGAACAAAGATTAAGGAAAGGAGTTTTTAAGGTAAGACAAGTAGTTCTCAACCCTGGGTGCACATCTGAATTGTCTTGGCACTGAAGCCCAGGACACCCCACTCCATTCTGATTTAATTGGTCTGAGGTGGGGCCTTGAGAATATTATTCTAATATATGACCAAGATTGAGTGACTTAACTATCTGGAATAGACAGATGTGTTATAGTAGTGAAAATGGAAAATGCTGAGACAGTCAATTTTGTTGATACAGAAAGTAAAAGTACATGGCTAAAGTATAGATCATTTACTTTAAAAATGAAACATAATGACTAAACTCTTCAACTGCTCCCATGACTCACTCTGTACAGTTTAATGTCTTAGTCAACATACAATGCCCTCTGTGATCAGGTTCCCCTGGCTACCTAGGTCTCCAACCTCATTTCCTCTAACTCCCCCACAGGCAAACTAAAATACAGCCAAACTAAACTATTTTCAGCTTCCTTCACTGTCCCAAACTATTTCTTTCCTCTCCCATTTACATTTTATTAGTCCTTCTGCCTAGAATAACATGATCCTGCTACTCAGTCTACCCATCATGCCTTGTAAACACTTATTACCTGATATTAAAGTCCAAGTATATCATTTTCTGTAAAGTCTTCCAGGAACCACATGAGAAAAATTAATCCTTTTTGGTGCCATCACCATTTTTATACATATCTGTTCAATAATTTATTTACCATATCGCATTTTTTTCCAACTTTCTGTCATTTACTGATCTTTGAGCACTCTGAGAGCAAGTAACTTTGCGTCTTTTCTGTTTGTTTTTAAATCTTTTTATCTCTTATGCCTAAATGTTAGCTGCATGAATAAGTGATAGAATAACCACTAGTTCTAAAATTTCAACAGCAAAGTTAAAGGGAAAAAACCTAAATAGTCATGAGGATTTAGGAGACCTGGACAATTATGTGACTATAAAAGTAACCCATGAATATCTTTCATCATCTCCTGAATTTTCCCTTTATAGCATCTATTCCCTTCTTTAGTCCGATTAAAGACTCAAAACACATGATAAAGAGTAGCTGCAAAACAAGAGAGGGGAGAAAGGGGAATGGGACAGGTTACGCAGGGAAAACCAACGTTTTATGAAACTACAGGAAAAGGTGAGCAGGTGGTTATTGCATTCACCTTTATACTCTTTAGCATATCTTAAAATGTGTATGCATATTACTATATTTATAACCTTGAAAAGCTTATTTTAGTGTTCTTATCAATCAACAGAACGAGTAGACTGAAACCATTTCATTTTCTTCACACCTAAATCCATAAAGAAGATACCATATTAGCAGTAACAAATTGATATCATCATAAAACACTGTTTTGTTTTGTTTTTTTATTATGCCCGGGTATTAAATGCAAAATGAAACTAGGTGAATTTAAAAAAATGGCTTCAATTACTAAGAAAATATTCTGTTAAAAGAATGCCTAAAACTATCTATTGTCGCCCTTCTCTTTGGGTATTTTCTCTCTTCAGAAGACATCACATCTCATTCTCTCTGACTCAGAACAGGTTTTACAACTTCTTGGCCCTCTGGACTTGTAACTTTTAGATGTCTCATAATCCATTCTAGACTAAATACGGACACGCAAGATCCTACATAGAACCAAAAGTCTTTAGTTTCCTAACACTTACGATAGGAATAAAGGGTTTAGGTTGAAGATTTCCAGAAACCCGTGTATTTCAACAGGAAAATTCGTTCCCAAGTTCTAGAGAGCAGGGGAAATTGGAGGGAACGTGAAGGCGCATCTCCTTCAAGAGCAGGTCTGAAAACGAAGTAGCATTATTAGTTTAAAAAAAGTTGACAGGTTTCTGGGAGGACTCTTATCCTGGGACAAGGCTTAGGATGTTTAATTAGAGACGTAAAAGGCCCTCAAAAATGCCTCCAGGTACCATTAGGTGCCTTCCGCTTACAGTCACTAAAATCCAAAAATTCTTAGTTTGGATTCTGGGACACCAAATCTGTTTCCCCATTCCTCCCACACATCCGGTCTCTCCTGCATCTTCTCCCGGCCCTATAATACTGAGTTTCTACCCGTTCTCTTGACTAAGTCACTTCTCTGCGTCTCAGAACATCTATATCCACCGAAAGCCCTGCCTCTCGCTGTCCCCTTCGGCGGCCAGACCCCCTTCCTCGGATTCGAGCCGTTGCGCAGCTCCATCCTTCTCACCTTGGTTGGAGAAGAGGCTCCACAGTTTAGCGAAGATCAGCCCCATCATGAGCACCTGGTTGGGCCGCGGGGTCCCTCAGCAGCAGGTGCCGCTGCGCCGGGGCCCCCACCGCGGCGCGGGCTGTGGGGAACCAAGGAGAAGCCGACTGAGACCGCGCGGCGAGGGCACTGGTTGGCCGAGAAGCCTCGATCGGCCGCTCAGCTACCGGTCGGAAGGCGCCGCGTCGAGTCCCCACCGGATAGTCCTTTGTTTCGAGCCCACTGAACCTAGAGCCGACCCGTAGTCCCCTCGGTCTGAACCCACCTACCCTCCAGAGCCCCAACCAGCCCAAAGCCCCGCCTCCGCTCCGCCTCCCCTCCCGATCCCAGGCCCACCCATCGCCGGAAGGACGGCACCTGACGTACGCACGCCTACGTCAACCCACGCCTTCGACGTGGCGCTTCCTCCGGTTTCGCTTCCGGTGTGCGGGCTCCCAGTGGCTTGTGTGGCAGGTGTGGGCGTGCGTGGGAGTTGGGGTCTTTCCTTTTTTCCCTAGCTTAACGCTTATCGCACTGTTCAGAAGCGTTTGCCCGGTTCCCTTTCTCCTGTCTGGCACGTGCGTCCCTGGCATCTAGCCTGGGGGCAGACTGCAGTTTCTCCGAGCTGCCAGTTTTGCTGCACTGAAGTGAGGAGTTTTGGTCACAAGTGACAGCCTCCTGTCACCCTCTGCTGGCTAGCAGGCTTAGGGTTCTGCCGCAATTCTTAATTCCGAATGGACTTGATTGAGAGACGATCCTTGGCATGCCTGTAGCCAGAGTTCAGTTCTGTGATTAACTTATTGGTTCCCAATTTTAACATGCACTCAGTGTTTTCTTTGATAGCCATCTACAGCGTAAGAAAATAATTTTCTGAAGTGTTACTTGGCAAGAACTTCTTTAATGAAAATGGAATCCCAGTAATCTATCTCCAGTTCAATACAATAGTAAAAGTTACAAGTGCTGTACTTGGAGCAAAACAAAGAAACTGAAATTTAAGGGGAAAAAAAGGACCAGATAGGGAATTATATATACGCGATGTAATTTGGAACTATTGTAAACTTAAGATAATGCTTGGAAGAACTGGCTGGTCTGGAATTTAATTTATTAATTACCTAAGAAGTCTGAGTGTATTTAAGCCAATTTGCTACATAATCGTTTCAATTACTTTTCTTTTTTATTATTAGGTTCTAACAAAAGTAGAGGCTTCATAGCCTGGGGTGAAATGTAACTAATTCCCTTGAAACCAGTTGAAGGCATGAATTTAATTAAAAGAGACTGTAGACTTTAGTCAGGGCAGCGAGACCGTCAAACTACGCAAAACGAGGCATACTTCGTTTTATGGTGCTTCTCTTCATTGCTCTTCGCAGTTATTGGAGTTTTTTTTACCAGCAAAAGATTGACTTGCTGGAGGCTCAAATGCCATTGCACTCTACAATACAGTGTAAACATAACTTTCATAGCACTGGGAAACCAAAAAATTCATGACTTGCTTTATTGCGCTGTTCCTTTAGTGTGATATCGGCTTTACTGTAGTCCTCTGGAACCAAACCTGCAATACCTCCGATGTGTGCTTGTATTTCCTTACCTGAACCTAGAAGTATATGACTTACGTCCTCCCAATGTTATGATTCAAAGACCCTTTAAGCCTTCATGTGGGATAATGTGCTCCAACTTTCTGATATTAAAGGCAAGTTTTAACCTCCCATATAGAGGAAAGCTGTGTACTGAGCTTAGGCAGAGTTAACTTTCATGTCCATGAGTCGATGTATGACTAAATGATTTTGTGTTTGTGTAAACAGAGGCTTAAAGGGACATTTCTAGTCAGAGTTTTATTTGTTAAACAACAAACTTTAGATTCTGTAACTTAGCTTCAATTGTTACACATGGATATAAACCACATTTTTTTTCTGGCTTTCAGATGTTTAAAAAACAGTATCTGAAAAAAGCATTTTTTGCAGAGTTTTGAAGCAAAAAGCTGTATTTCTTAAACATTTATATGGTGGCTTAATGATACTTCAGAGAGTTAATCTGAATTATTCTTTCACTTTAAGTGAAATGAGTATATTTGAGCAACGCTGTTGATATTTTTATTGGTTCTGCTCTTCTGAAATGTCTGAAACTTTTATGTTGATCAACTGTACTAATTTACTTTTTTCTACAATTTACCAAACAAGACTGCTGTAATATTTTTAAAATATTTGTTCACATTAAAAAATTTCATTTGCAGATTTGGAAATTCAAAGTTTTTATTAACAAGAAGAAAACTAGTCAAAATGAAAACTGCTTGATTAACTGAATATAGTTGTGGATTATCTAAACAAATCATGCTGATGTACCGTAACTATTGATTTGTTAAAAAAAAATACACTTTAGTTTATTTGTATCAGTTATGTAAATTATAGGAATACTTGTGAAGAATTTAATCAAACTAGAGAATTTTGAGTAATATACTTTTTAAATGTAGCACTAATAACACCTTTGTGATTTTTTTTCTTAAAACATTACTTTAAAAACTAATTTCAGGGTAGCCCTTGATTCAGAGGAGGTAACACTAGCCTATGGAATGTTACTATTTGAATATAAATGTATCTTGAATTCGCGAAATAAGAAAAATGTAATGAAAAAAGGAACGTGATAATGCCATCATTAGGATTATATTTTCTGAAGTGTTAATTGGAAATAACTCTAAAATGGAATACCCATAATCTTTCCAGTTCAACAAATTTTAAAAAGATAAAAATGCTATTATATACTCAGAGCAAAACAAAGAAATTGAAATATCAAGGAAAAAACTTTGAACTAGGGAATTAAAAAAAATTTATCTAATTTTCCTTAGAAGGAACTATTATAAATTAACTTCAGGTACTACTTGGAAGAACTGGCTAGAACTGGAATTTAATTCAATTTATTATTCAGATAGCTAAGATAAATTGCGAGAATGGCTGGAACCAAAAGTTCAGGAACAGCATGTTCTGCCAATCAGGAATGAAATTTAAACTCTTAAAAAAAATAAAACACTCTCCTAAATCTTTAAGATAACATCTGCTATGGTTTTTAGCCTAAATAGTCAGTCTCCAGCTGAGTTGAGATCGATAGATAGATTTACAGTCTTTCTAGACTTTTTTCCCTAATCCTCTTATGCCTTCTTCATGAATTAAATATTGAGGAATAGTTGTTGGGTTTTTGTTTTTGGTTTTTTTTTTTTTTTTGGTAAAGATTTGGAGCACCACAAACAGTTGTCTGTAAGATTATACCTAATAATTTTTTGCTCCTTCCCCCACCCATTGGGGCCATATTACCCCATTGAGAACATACATCCTAAATTACCCTTATGTGGATGTATTCCGATAGGGGTCTTACTTTGCTTAGACAATGTGTTCACTACGCTAACTTGAAGTTTGTAATATGCATTTCTTGGACCCAACCTTAGAACACCAAGAGGCCTCTTCATCAGCATAACTGTCACCACAATGTCTAGCCACGGATAGCCTAAGTGTCCTCAGCACTGTTCAGATGTGCTGAACTAGTGAACTAATTTCCAGCAAATATGTGCTTTATCAACATTTCCTAGTGCAGACAGATGCCCACCCATCTATTCATCTAATCATTCAGTACTCGAGAGCCTATTATGTTAGGCATCCGTGGGTATTAAGTCGTGAGCTAAAGGCTCTGCCCTCTGAGTCTACAATCTAGTTCGATTTGTTACTCCTTCTCCTTTAACTCGTAAATACACATTCCAACCATTTTTTGCGCTATAATCGCAATGTTGAGGCTGCAAAGATTCTTTTGGAAATGCCCGGTCTAGAAATTTCCTAATTACTTTCAGATGGCAGAAAAATCCCATGAATTTATTGAAGTATGCCATGGTGTAAACAGCAGTTATTGGCTTTCGAAGCCGGATGACTATGGTGTTTATTCTGACTTTCTCAGTAATTGTGAGGCCATGGAGTTATTTCAGCTCTGGGAACCTTGTTTTACTCTTTTGGAAAAAAAGAGTGATAATTACCTTGCCAAGTTGCACGGCTTAATGGCTGTAAGTTAAAATATTTTCTACAGAACCTGGTTGACATATAGAAAGTAGCTATTGTACTTTTTAAAATATTCTCGTCTGAGAGTATGAGAGAGACTTAAGAAAAATCTCTTTCCTGCAATTATGTGTTAATGACTACGGTATACTGCAAAAAACACTAAGTCAAAGAAACAGAATTATTTTTAGTTTACTATTCAGTCATCAAATATCCCAGTGACTCGTTAGGTACTTTCTCCCTTTGAATCGTTTTCCTCTCTTTAAGGCGAGGTTATGCCAAAAGTCTCCAGAGCTTTAAAGTCTAAATCAACAATGATACAGGTTACTGTTACCCTTGGTGAACTGATTGTAAATACTTATCTGGGTTTCTAAATTTTACTTGAGCATTCATAACACCATAAGCCCAACGTTCGAAAATTTTAATAATGTCGATTCAGCTCTGTATGCCCGAGAAAAGTAATTTCCTGAAATCAGAGTAGCTGATTAAGTCTAAATAAACTTTGGCTTCATCCGTCGGTAGCTAATTGGACCCCTCACCTTATTCAGACCTGCCAGGTTTTCGACTCAGTCCACACGGTTTCTCTATCTCCCCGCGCACCCCGCCCAGGCGCTTGATTTGTTTGTCACCTGGGCAGCCGCCCCGCCCTCTTTAACCGCGAGCCCCACCGCCAGCTGCTCGGAAATTCCGGGGGTGTGACGTAGGGGCAATTTGCGGCTGCGGATTGGCAGGTCGGGGAGGGGGGGGGCGCGTTACGTCACAGGAAGTGACGCAATCTGGAAGCGCCGTCTGCGGAGAAATTGGGGGCGCGGTTTTGGAAATTAGCCCCGAGCCGGTGCCTGCCAGGTTTCCAGGTCTCTGCTGCACCGGGCGTTCGCTCGTCACGCCTTTTTGCTGCTTTGTTCTCTGTAATGTGAGTGACATTGCCTCGCAGTGCCGTCTCTGAACTCCCCTAAAGGAAGACCGAGGACAAGTGTGGTGGAGGCGACGAAGCCGCTCTAAACTGGCTACCCCGGAGATAGCATGGTTGTCCCTTCGCATCTCCGAATTTAAGTCGGCGTGAGACGGGCGCTGTTTTCCTGGGCATCTGGTGGTCTCGGCGCGTTGTGGGTGGTTTTCATTGTCAAGCCGCTGCTTACTGTAATTTTGGAAGAGAAAAACCACCGTGTTCCAGCATTTCTTTTGGAGAACTAAGCAATAGGAAAGATGCCTATTTTCCCTAAAATATCTTTGAGAGTTGAGGTTGAAAATTATCTTAAAGAAGGCTTTATGAATAAGGAGGTAGGTGAGATGAACATGTTAGATATTTGCAAACACTTAAATATTTACACGACCTAGAGAAAGAAAAAAGTCTAAAAGGAAGCCTAATCTTTACAGCTGTTGTTTCTTACTACTCGTCTTTCCGAATGGAAAAAAATGGTAGTGTCTTTCCGCAGGTATTTGAGTAATGCTTTCCGAAAGAAGGGGTGAATGAGCTACGTTTTAAGGGAGGTGAAAAGCGGTTATGTGCCTGGCAGTAACACTAAAGTGCTTACAAGGATGACTAAAGATCCCTGTCTTCGAGAGTTTGTCCTGTATCTAAGATACACCTGTACGAGAGCGCTTGCTCTGGCGCTCAGGTGAAACAGGCTGTAATGTGTTGAGTACCTCTTAAATGCCTCCCGTTGTGCTAGGTGGTTTGCAGACCTTTACATTTTACTCCTCTCAATCTTTTTTGGTAGAAATTTCTTCCCCATTTTAATAGGTGAGAGAATTGAGGTCCAAAGAGTCATTCAACTGATTCAAATTGACACAACTATTTAGTAACCGTGCTGAAATCTCAAGCTGAAGAGCTTAAGTAGAATGGAAAATTGTACAGGTTTGGAATCTCAAGCCCTAGGTTTGCATTTCAGTGTTTTGAGTATACTACTTCACATTCCTTAACCGTGAGTTCCTTTTCTGTGAAAATTGAGGATGGTTAAAAATACCAGATTATTCTAGGGTATTAATCTTAAGTGAAAGTAACTGGCATTGTTCTGGCACATTGTTTGCTGCTGGCGGTGTTTAGCACAGAAGTCCTCAGTGAATACTGATTGTCTTTGATTGCCACGTCTGTGCTTTTTCCATTTACCGTCCTGCCTCTCTGACAACTTTATATTTTCCAAACTTCTGTTTTCTATTTGAAGTTAAGCCACTTAAATGTTTTTCATTTTTTTTAAGATGTTACTGAAGCTGTGACCTTTAGATTTGATTTCTCCATTTTATTTCCAAAGATTATGTTAAAGGACCACACAGTGTGGAAAGAGAAAATATCTTCTCTTGATTTCAAAGAACTTAGAAATTATAAGGAGCATAATAAGATAAATGGAGGCATTCAGCAGATTTTTTTCCTAGCAATTTTTTAAATGGTGAACATTATTTTATAAAAGTTCCAAATATCTTTCTTTGATATTTCTCTGCCTCAAACCCATTGACTATATGGTTTTACAAAAAGAAAACCATTTTTTGTTGTTGTTGTTGTTAAAAGTATCAAAGATAAGGGAATATTTTTAAAGGAATATTTAGTTTCATAATAACAATAAACCTTAAGAAAGAACTAATACTTTTAGGCCAGTATGGATTAGTATGCCGGCAAGTGGTTTATGAACAATCTGTGAGGTAGGGTATAGTTAAAGATGACAAAAAATGGGGAAATAAGTGTCAAAAAACTGCAGTTAATTACAAGAGAACTTGATTGTTTAAGTCTGTAATTTAATTTCTGACAGGTATCTTTGCTACTCATCTTTTTTGGATGATGTCTATTACATTTAATAATACCATTTAAAAAAATTCATGTGGGAAATCTTTGGATGATGTTATCAGTGTTACTTATTCAAGTCTTGGTGTTTTAAAAGGCTACTGACCAATTTGCTTTAGACTATGAAGTTAGCAAGTAAATAGCTATACAGAAGTGCTATAATAGTTAATGCATCATAAGTAGAATGAAATCCTGAATTTATATGACTAAATGTAGCAGATATTAATATGTTCAAAATGTTAATAAAACTTTGAAGTCGAAGCAATGTTTTTCTAAGCCTTTATGTCGGGCTTAGAACCCAACAATTAAACCTAAGAACCTGTGAAGTATTACCATTCTCTTAGTTTATATTGACACCTAAACAATACAGCGAAATGAAATGAAATTAAACAGTTGCTGAAAGGTGTTTCATAAGTGGGAACAAATGTATATACATTTCTGCTTTTTAATTTGTATAATGAAATTGAAACATTGTTCTTTCAGATTGTATCTGCTTTAGGTAAACAAGAAGCAGAAAGGAAGTTTGAAACTCTGTTAAATAACTTATCACACCCTCCTTCATTCACAACTGTCAGAGTGAATTCACATCTAGCTTCCGTACAACATGTGAAAAATCTGCTATTTGATGAACTTCAGAAGGTTTGTGCTAGCTTTTTGTTATTATGTACATAATTACATTTCTACAGCCTTATACTGCTCCCCACTAGAATTCTATGAATGATATAATACTACTCCAGTTTCACAAATAAGGAAATTGAGGCTCTTAAATGTGAAATTGTTCAAAGTTACATAGTGAGGTATAGTAATGCTAGAACTTGAACTCGGCACTTCTGATTTTCAGTTTGGTTTAGTGACTGGTTAAGTCACTCAACCCCTCTAGGCCTCAGTTGCTTCATCATTAAAATAAATGTGAAGAGGTCCATTCTAATCCTAAAAGTCTGTGATTTTGTAATAAGATAGAATGATCAGAAAGGCAGTTTATATAACTGAGGTGAGCCCCAAGATAGGTACCTATTGATTACCTGTAGTAGTATATTTTTAATGGACATAAAAAAACTGATAGAGAAGTACTTTATTTTTAACAAAAGCAGGAAATTAGGAAAATATAAAGAATATATTTTTTAAATAAAACATTTTTTTGTTCAATCAATAAAATAGTTTTGGCATAATACTCATTTTCTATGAAAACAATATTATAAAATGCCATTTTATAAGTCTCAAATAGAAAAATAATAATTAAATTTTTGTTTGTATTGTCTTCTTTGCTTTCAAAAGCTGTACATTTTATATGTCATACACTGTACACTGCAGTTTGCCTCCCAAGAAATGCAAGATGGAAGAAAACAGATGCCTGAGTGCGGCACTTCAAATTGCACTTTGTAGTTATTAAATCTCTTAGAAGTAACTGTGGTTGGTGTTGGCAGACCTATTTCTATCTAATTCCTATCTAAATTAAAAGCAAGAGGCAAGCACGATTAAAGGGCTTCCATTCGTATACCGCAGGCTCTGTTACCTGTTTACCCTAGATATAGCATTCAGAAATTTTTAGAAAACTATCACTAGTATTGATTCATTTTTCTTTCATTACTTTCATAGAGTATCATATAGTCTTTAAGAACAATTCTATAAATTTCAGGTTGTGAGTAGATGACCATAAGAAGAACCAGTGATAGTTTTATTGATAGTGATAGTGATAGTTTTATTGAATAAAGGCATTAGGCACAAATATAAGCAGTTCCTCAAAGCAACTAAAATTATTACTTTTATATAGCCAGGCATATATTCTTTCAGCTAGTAGAAAGGAAACTGAGGCCCATCAGAGGTGTCCATAACTCGGGCAGATCCAGATTGGTTTCTAGCAAATTATTCCTTAGAGCCTAGATATTCTAATATTCCAGTCTGATGGGTATATAAGATCTCATGGGCTAGTCACTAGGATAAGGCAGACAGAATCACTCTGGGTGGGCTTTGAGTCCCTTTCCATAATGGATAAGATTAGAGAAGGTTGGGTTCTAAGCACTATAGGAAA